GGAGGACAGGATGGATGCTCCATTCAGCATGGCTAAATCAAAGATAATGTATGAAAGGTGTGTGTTACGGTGTGTCTAGCAGCATGTCCTTACATTCAGTGCACACAGCGTTTCAAACTCACCATGTGTGTGAGAGTAGCTGTAGAGGCTTTGGCTGGGAGGAGTGGTGCTGAAGTTAGAGTATCCCAGTAGTCCCGTCTGTCCTGGAGAGTGACTCAGACCGTCCTCTGTTTTAATGTCTGGAATAAAAACAGCACAAATTGTGTTCTGGATAAAACCTAACCAAGATGGAGCTTTGTAAACTTGACATTCCTATAATTAGATTTAGTGAACTTAACTGTGCCTCTAAAGTATGTCACAAGAATTAACAATGCCATTGTTAGTTGCTCAGAGCTCCCACTTTGATTGCTTTGGTGCCTAGAGAGCACACTAGTCTTGGATTGTGCTAAAGTGCACACTCTGATCACTGTTTTTTTTTAAATATATATATAATTTTAAATGTATACATTTTAGTAAAGTCTGAACATGTCTACTGATCACCAACTCTGAAGCAAACATATGTAAAACACATGACACTATGAGCGCTATGTGATGACTTGTTGTTGTAAATATGCACTATACAAATAAAACTGAATTGAATTGAATTGAATGACAGTGTATCTGTAGCGAAATGTGCCTGTCTCTTTTCTATATTACACCATGTCTGTCATCTGTCTTGTTTCCCTCAGTGTCCCTCCTCATGTCTCCATTTTTACTTTGCAATGTCACTGAATTTGTTTCAAGTCTTCAGTGGATCTTCCCCAATGTATTGTGTTGTTCTTGTGTCTTGTTGTTCACACAAAACTGAAAGAAGTTACACTGACTTAAAGAATAATCTAAAATCTAGCTCTACTTTGCCATCACGTGACATTACAGATGTTTAGCTTTAGAGATAACTTTCAAAATAACTCCAGGTTATTCACAACACTGTGTTTGCTTGTACTCACTGTAGGACGGCATGCTGTAGCCCTGTGAGTGGTGAGTGTACGGTGTGTATGGTCCTGCAGGCGGGAGGGCGGGGCTGTACTGAGTCTGTCCATACGCAGCCATGACACTGATGGGGAATGAAGAAACACAAGAATAAGGAAATTTTTGGTGACCAGTTCTTCTTTTTAATCTATACTGCAACATAATATATGTTGTTGTCAAGTTAGAACTGAATGTGAGGAAGTGCAGTTGGCTGCAGAGGAGATGGTCTGAACTTTTGCTACTTCCATTATGAAATGCAGAAACAAACAAACAAAACGACACTCAGTGGACACAATTAAAAGGAAAAGAGTCTCTGTTACAGCTTTTGGCTAAATTTACTTCATCAAGTTAATAAATCACAATGACCAAATTTGACCTTTAGTATTATTAGGACTTAGCATGACTTACATTGTAACGATTACAAAGAAATATTCAATTTAAGTGAAGAGAAACTCACCTGCAGGAGGGACGCCGAGTTTGAAACAGGTAATAAGAAGTCCTGTGAATGAGGCGAGAACAGACGCTGTCAGAAAATAAACAGTGAAACCATTTAGGAAATGACAAATAAGAATAAAAGCTCCAATTCTTTGGAAAACGGGCCAAAACGTCACAGAAAATAAGTGAATACAGGTTTTAAACTCTCAAAAATGGGACAGCCCAGTCCTGTTAAATCCTTTTTATCTTTTTTATCTTCACACTCCGACTGGATGCACTTCACTTGTGCCTTTGTAGTTTTGTTCTCTCACCTGCTCCTGTGGAGACAGCCTTATCCTCTTTATCCTGTCACACTGCTGTTAGTCAGGTTCCTCTCAAGCCGTCAACTCTCCTGTGGAAACAATAGCAAATACACATCATGAGGCCACAGGTATGCGGTGCACTGACACATGACGACGTGCCTGGAGCCCTGTGGCAGCGGGACTAAGGAGAAACATTTTCTCCACACACACAGTTCACGAGGTGAACGGGTTTTAAGGACAGTTGGAGAGACTGAGAGAGAGAGATTAAGATAAATGTGTTGTGAGGAGTCTTGCCAATATAGAGAATCTGACAGTCAAATAATGAGTTCCAGGAACCTGACAGGTAACATTGTTTCGAGGGAAAATGTTGCAAAATGCTCCACTACACCACTGCTGACTCACGCCGTTGTTTGGCACCTGTGCACGTAGCTGTAGAGGAAATAAAGCAGAAAAAACACCTAGAATGATACTGTGGTTCCAACCCAGCAGCAGTGTCAGGGGTTCACGGCTCTTAGTTCATGCTTGTTGAGCGATGTGATGGGACAATAGAGCTTTGTAAGACAGGAGAGAATAAGATGACATCATGAAGACAGGACAAATTTTGCAATGTAATTGTTTTTGAGCTACAGTATCTCTTTGTACTGTATTTCTCTAAACTCAGCTGCTTCTTGGTAATATTGGATTAGCGTCTTTGTACAAAATATGATAAAACACATTGATTAATCAGACATTTAGTTAACCCATTTTACCACAAACTTCTTCTTTCTTTAGTTATTTTATCAATGCGCTGTTTTTCATTTGAATTTAGAGTTTATTAAATACATCATTGTGTATTGCACTACTGTCAACATGAGATTACATACACTGTTATAGAAGATTTAATCTGACAGAAGGCTCAATAGAAAAGACCAGAACAGGTTTTAGCTCAGTAGGCCGAAGGTCAAAAGATCAACACAACATGAATTCATCTAAGCAGGAAGCTGAGGGAGGTCAGTCTGTCAATCTGCATCGCCTAAATCCCACTCACACTAGCTACCACTCAAGCAAGCTACTGGGAAACACTTAGGTAGAAATACCATCTATAATATTGAACCAAAATTATAGTTTACCTTAGTTCCAATTAGGGTGACCCATAAATGCTGCAGAATGCAACTGCATTTTTAGCCGGTTTTGTAAAAAGGCCCCACAAAGGAATCTTTTTTTTTTCCTGTTTGTTGTTAAAGTGTAGTTGTGGTGCACATAGCCCCGACCTAAACCTCAAGCAGTTTCTCTGGAAAAGAATTAAAACACAGAACACGAGCCAAGTCTTATCACAGAACATCAGTACCGACCTAGCTAATACACTTGTGACAGAATGTTACGAAATCCCTGCAGCAAGGTTTTCTTGTGGAAAACCTTCCCCAGAAGAGTGAAGGCTGTTAGACTGGCGTGTAAACAGTTTCAGAGAGAACAATCACACGTGGGTGTATTGTTCTAGTGGCCATGTAGGAGTCAGAGCATTAAAAAGAGCATCAGATAACCTGCCTTTGGTTCAGCACAATTACAACTGCTTGTGTTTTGTGTGTAGCTACATGACAACACACAACACGCTGAACTATTTAATTAATTTCATCTCTCCTTTTCTTCCTCCTTCTGTCTCCTTTGGTTTCTCTCTCTCTCTCTGTGCCTCTGGGTCATTCCAATCTGGCAAAGCTGCAGCTAACTGCCTGACCTCCAACCTCGCTGACAACACAACGACAGAGACAGATGACAGTCATGAATTATAGGGGCAACCGGGTTTTACGGCAGCAGAGACATGAAGGTGACTGAGCAAAAAAAAAAAAAAAAAAGACTGAGGAGACAGAAATGAAAGATTCACCATCACTGGCGTCATAAAATCAGACACGCTATCATGTATGTTATTCTCGTGTCCTTAGCTACAGTTTTTTGGGCAGACACATAAAAGCAGAGAAAATAAATCTCATGTTACATTTCCAGCTAATGTAGTTGCCCTCCCACCTTTTAAAACACCCGAGACAGCTTGCAGTGTTTTTTGAGTAAATAAATGTATTTCTATCGCGATGTGGCCACAAAGCCTCCACAGCCAGAAAAGATCTACCTGCACATCTGTGTTACTGACTGTGAGGTTAACACTGAGGTGCTCCACTGTAGCAATGCTAAAAGGGCAAAACATATAATGAAAGTATTTAATGGGAAAAAAATAAAAAGTAACTTCTTTCAAGTAAAGTCAACTTACGAAGTTCGACCCAAAGGCTGCAAATTAAGAATTAAATTGTGTTATTAGTTTAAAGTCAATTTAAAATCTTAACTTTCAATCTAAACATGTGCTCATCATAACCTATTCTTTTCATGTGAGGTTTTCCACCTCAGAAATGATCCTCAATCTTTGCTTAAGTCCTTGCAGCCATTGCGACCCTGATCTGACCTTTTATCACCGGCAGACTGTGAAGCTCCAGAGAATGACACTGATCCTGCAGCACAGAAGAAAAATAAGGAAAGTGCTGTTGTGCTTTGCATTTCCTAGTACTTCCCAGGGATCAAAAGTGAGAGCGACGCCTGTTCAGAGTCCTCTTGACTTCAGCTGCAACAGTCGTGTATGCGCGCACAACGCACAAACCCAAAAAACTGCGTGCGATAACCGATGAACTTCCTGGTTCAGGGTGAGGCCTGAGAGGAGGGCGGCCAAGGCCATGGGAACTACAGGACACCGGAGGGAAGATGAGTGGAGCTCAACAGAGATGTGGAGGGCCAAGGGCTGAAACTGAAGCTAAAACAAACCCAGCAGGGCCACAGGGGGCCACAAGGCCACAAGGCCAGTCCCACCAGCTTCACCTGGGTCCCAGGGTTCTTCTAGACCACGGCTTCTTTCACGGATATCAAATTCTAGCCTTTGTGCAGCATTTTGTGCTTTAAGTTGAAATGTCATTTGATACAGTTAAAAGGAATACACAGTGTTTATGCAGATTTACCTGTTTTTCCGCTAAAACCAGTGAGTGAGGAAAAGATGATTGACACAAAGCTAAGTCTTACTTTATGTAACAACCAGCTTCACTTATCAGGAGGTCGTTGTGCTAAACAAACTAGTGTGACAGTTTCTCTGATCATATCTTAGGTCAAGAACAAGAATAACTGTTGAAACAGTGATAAAAGTGCACAGTTTCCAACAATCTGTTGTTAGACACTTTCATAGTGTTGTATTTATTTGAACAAAATTAGATATTTAAAGAATTAGATATGAAAGTTTGTTAATTCCATCCAGCCAATGGGTAAACATGGTTTAGATGTCAGAACAAAACCGGCTCCTGTCCATATTTTGATCATACTAATCCCACGTTAGCACACTGCCAAACGATAATTAGCAACTGGCACCTAAAATGCAAGAAAAAGAAATGATGTAGAAGCTCAAGATTGTAAAAAGCAAGAAACAGTTTAACATATGGTAAGGCAGGCAAGTAAGGCAGTTAGATTTAGTGCATGTGATGCAGAATATATTTAAATCCAAATGTATTATTGCTAAGCTGAAATGGTTAACAACCAAACCTTGCTGTATTGGCTTGAGTGACGTTACATCAATGGGACTGCCCAAACTCAAACTCAAAATAATATAAAATCCATTCTTTTGTTGTAAATTTCATTTAGCCCAACCTGCATCATTTATTTAATTCAAAGCAGGATTGTATTTCATATTTGAAAATGCAGGAATATGTATGTATAAATAAACAAACAAACAAACAAACAATAGATTCAACACATCTACTACTAAGTCTACTACTTAAAACAAAAACATCAGGATTATCGCCCACACGTTTGTCCTGCAACTAAGTGACTCATCACTTTTCAAGAGCTAATAATCATTTTTGTGTACTTCTTCAGAAGCGGGGCTGGTCGTGAATGAATTAGTTACAGTTCGCTGAATTTCCAGTGAAGGGTGTGTGCCTTTATGTCGTATGTACCCAAGTCAAATATGATGTTGATATAATGTCAGGTGTCTCGCGTGTGTCTGGCTAAATATGTGTTTACAGTGTCAATACTTGTGCTGTGTCAGTGTCTGTATGAGACCTGATAGGACGTGCAAGAGTCTGGTTTCACGCTGCAGTGACCCTCTTAAGGTTCTGACCTTTACCAAAACACCGCGGTTCTCAATCAGCGGCTTGAAAAGGTGACTCGGCAGTTTGTAATCGCGCCATATGGGACCCCACCTGGGGCTTCAATTTGGACAGTCTACATAAGTGCCTGGAGCAAGTTGGGGGGGGGGACTGATTCACAGCCGAACACGAACCTCACTCTCTCAGCTGCTGATAAAAGACATAGAACAAGGGCCCACTATTTGCGTCTGTGCGACACTATCAGGGTTTTCGTCGTGGAAGTTGGTGCCATCTGCCAGCCTCTGCTCTCTTTAAACACTTTTGGCACACAGCTGACAGTTCAACAGGGCAGATTGCAGCAAAACAGCGAAAAACACAGAACAACTTCTATTTCAGAATTTTCTTTTTTTTTAATCCTCGTAATCAAATAAAAACTACCTCCACATTCAGAAGTGAAAACAAAGTTAGCAAGATAAATGAGCACAAGATGATTTAGCAATCATGTGAGAATGTCAGTCGTAGTCTTTCGTAACAGTTTCTTTAAAACCCAAAGTATTATTATGTAATACTTAATGACAAAAACAGAGCATCAAACTGTTTAAACTCTGCAAACACTTTCAGGTTGAGCCAGGTTTGCAACCTATTTTATTATCAATTATTCTGCGGATCGTTCCTCTGAAAAAATAGTTGGAAACATGTAGGAAAATCATGAAAATGTACAATTTTTCCTTTTCTTTTTTCTCCTTTCTGAGCATTAGTTCAAAACCCAAAGAGTTCAGTTTACTGTTACAAAAGAAAAAGGAAAGTCGTAAATTTTCACAATCAGTCATTAGTTAACTCTTTACTTTAACTATCAAATGAGTTTTTAAGAAATTTTTAATTGATCATTTTTTGCTACATGGAGAACTACAAAAAAATCTCATGAATTGCCACCATGTACAATGTTAATCTTAAATCAAACTGGGCAGTTCATTGAACCTTACATGGTAGTGTTACATGTATGG